TTAAAATAGTTAATTGCATGTGTACATTTGGAGATAAGAGCCCAAGATTCCAATACAGATAATGAAGAATTGAGGCTGAGCTCAGTGCCATTTGTGATGTCCTTAGGCATGCTGCCTGCATTCTGGTTACCAAGTAAGAAATCTGAGTTCTTCCTATAGCCCCTGTTCATATCTACCAGCACTCCACAATGTCTCTGGTACCCTATGACATCTAAAATGTCATGGATGGTATCTGTGGGCAAGATGGCCTTGTTTAATAGGTATAATCTGATGTTATACTTAAGTAAACCAGAAAAAATTTCATTGAAATTGGGTAATTAGATCTTATGAACTTAGGGCAGGAAACATCTTGCTCCTTCTCACAGACAGACAGACCATCAGAAAAACTACATATGCATACATGCCACCTTATAACAGCTCTGCCTAGCAAAAGTTCAAGTGGAGCTTGTGTTTTTGTGAAGACAAGAATTCATTAGCCACAAGACACAAATTTGCAATACTTGCAGAACTATTTATTCATCATAAGTTCTGTATGAATTTCATTGCCTTTAAAGATCAAGTGCAACTTTCTCATCTGGGATGAGAAATCCTCTGTAGAGGATTTGCTGTTGGCTGTTAATGAACCCTGATTCTCAGAAGAAGCACGAGAAGACATCACCATTTGACCTTGGACATTATCCATGTACTTAATGTACCTCACCACAGATATGTCCTAAACAAAGAGCCAGCTTATAAAAATTAAAAAGATTCTATGAAAAATGCTGACTACTAAGAGACAGAGCTGATCCATGCCAAGGTTTTATATCACAGATAAGCAGTGTATGAGGCATTTGTCCTCTTATTAGAATGTGAATCTATTAATATGATCCAAGTGACATTTAGGGAAATGAATATCCCATTATTCCATAGGGGTCTCATTAAAGATAGCCTCTCCTGAGGTTGCTCGATGGCAAAATTTGTAAGTGGATTAGTTGGAAGCATGGATGAATGAATGAATGAATGAATGAACTTCAGTGACTGCTCCTTATAATGACTCCAGGTAATTAAAAAGACCAGAGGTATCTGGAGAATTCTAAGCCTAATAGTGGTCTAACAGTATTTTAAAAACATTTAATGATGGAGTTAATTGAGCTTTAGAATTCATTTAGCTGGTCCTTGCATTAACAAGTAGCTTTTATGTGATGGAGGAATTAGAAATTAAATATTGTCTCAATAAGTCTTCAAAGATGTTTCCTAATTTTCATGTTGGTCATTATTAAATAGTAATGTTTATGCAAATTATAGTGCCAAAGCTTTTTCAGTATTGGAAAATGTTACTCTGAAAACTCATTAATTTTCAGCCACCATGTTCACGGAGAAGTACAAGACAAAACGGCTGCTAAAGGCAGCACTACAAGCTGAGTACAAACCCAGGCACTAAGAGGACATGGTCAGGTTCAGGAAGGCATTACTGCCTTCTCCTGGGATCTTGGTAAAGAATGAGGGGAGAGACAGTATTCACTGGTTGACCAAATAGCAGAATGTTTTATTTTTAACCTGGGTCTCAGTAGAACTGCATTCTCTATACGTAGATGTTTAAAGTGGAGAGCTCAGCTGAACAGATGAGTATCTGATTTTCTTGGGTGGGATTTAGTTCATTTAACTGCTATGTTCCTGTATCTTGGGAGTGTAATGGAGCAGACCTTTCTGAGGAAGTTCCTAAGTTCCTTAGATAGTCAAAATGAGAAAGAGAAATGGTTTTAATGCCACCAGAGAGGGTCATGTACTCCTAACTCCTGTAGTCAATCTTGGATGAGTAAGAACTCCCTCTGGAAGTTTTTACAGTCACTGTTTGCTTATTCCACCACCTAATGACTCTGAGAAGGTACATGAAATCATAGCAAGAACCATCAAATCAGTAATAATAACAATAGTAACATGTAATTTTCCATATTTTTTTCTGTATTCTGAGAAAAGCTGTTAAAAGGTATCCACTACAGCCATGCTGTCTCATAGACAGCCTAGTAGCAGCAGGAATAAGAGCTCTGGAGGCCTAATCACACTAAGCATCATTTAAGCTACATATCCTTGATGTGCTCTTTCCAGAACCTCAGAGGCAACCAGACCCATCCAGACCCTCAACCTGTTGCTCTGACTCCAAGGAAAAGTCCATACTTATCTGACTGCAACTGCACTGGAAAAAAAAAAAAAAAGGCTCTATTTGTCACTTTTTTTTTATTCTCACTATCTCAAGACTCCATGCAATTTTTCCTCTTTACTGTCGTCTTTCTTTCAAACCTTGTCTGAAAACATCTGTCTTCCCATTTCTCTGTTTAATACTCTTGGTATATTTTATCATTTCAAAACATTTTTAAACACATTATTTTTAAACACATTTTGAATGAAAGACACTGTCCTGAGGAAGGGCCAACTCACACTGTGTTGTTTGCATAGAGAGCATGAAGGAGGAAGAGCAATAAAAGAGCAACTTAATTACTTTGGAGCCACGGTGCTTCCTGCTGCCACAGCCTCTGCATGAGGTCCTGACGCAGCCACCAGCCTTGGTGAGAGAGGCCTGATCTTGCTGACAACTCCTCTGGTGCAGCTTTACCCAAAGTCACTGAGCAGCTCACAGCAAATGAACAAGACACAAAAAGTGGCAGGACATCAGTGACGTAGCCCAGGCTAAAAAACTTACAGAAACAGCAGTGACCTCCAAAAAGCACAAAAGTCTTTCTGCCCTGTTCTCTCTCCTCTGCTGAGCAAATCATAACCTCTTCTAGCAGTGCTGTTCACCTCCCCTTGAGAGGTCCTTTGTCCAGAAAAAGAATGAAAAATCAGAGCACAGCTGCAAAAAACAATTCTCACTTGTGGCCTAAGTGCTCATATTCTTTGTACCTGAACAAGATAGGATGATATGACCTAACCTACATTGCAAATGTTGAGATTGTGAGACACAGTGGATAGATCTGGATCTGACTTCTCAGTTTATTCCAGAGCCAAGGATTAGTAGTGACTATGCCTGATGCTCTGGGGTAAGCACATTCATCAGTGGATTAGGCTTTGAGCAAAAATCCACAAAAGTAATACAAGCCCAAGTGATCATAGTTTGTTTCCTTTAGAAAGCACTAGTTTTCTTGTGGCCAGTGCTAGCAACAGTGTGCCTGTCGTAGCAGCCACAGCTCCATTGCATTTGCCTTTCCTTCTGTTCTTCTTCCTGCTTGACCTTGGGAAAATTCTTGCTGCCTGTCCCAGGTTGCAATTCTACTGCTGGAATAATTGAGCTATAACAGTAACCTTTCCATTGACTTCTTTCTTTTTTTCAAGATTAAAACCTTTTGCTTTACTGCTTTTTGTTCTCTTATCTCCTTAGAATTTTGTACCTGGGAACTTATCTATATGCAAAATCAATGTTGAGAACTTCAATGCACCATCTGTCTCTGTTTATATCCAGTGACATCCCAGACACAGGGCTTGTACCAGAAGGTCTCTACCTCTAGTCTGAGTATACAAATAAAAAAGGACAGAGCAAATTTTCTGTATTGTTTCAGATGGTTCCAGCAGGATTATCCACCTCAAATCTAACCATTGCCAATACTGTAGTAGGTGTCTACAACATTTCTTTCCCCACAGTTTCAACAGGATTTGTGTGCCATTTCCACAGAAGTTAATGTAATCGTCAAGTTCACTCTCAAATGTGTCCTTTTCTGCAGTGGCTGCAAGTTGAAGTGAGCCACTGGTCTGCTTCCAGGTTAGGAATATCATAGTACTAACTAATACTCTATTCCTTTTTTCATATGCCATGTACATGACTTTCCACACTGAAAAGCCAAATCTAAACAAAAAAACCAATCCCAAGCCCACAAAAACATTGATTTCCTTTTTCATAGATGAAATATGGATCATTTTTGCCACTTGAAAGTCAAACCCATCTCTTATATGCCACTGCATTCACTGGTTATTATCAAGGAGAAATATGGCTCATTCTTGGAAATTATTTTTCTTTTAAAATTTGTCTTTTTCCTATTTATTCATATGTCTCGTTCCTCCAAGACTAACTGTTTCATGACATTCCAAGTTACTCTTCTACTGAAACTGTGTAGATGGTGTCAAAGAAAGCACATCTCACAGAAGTGCCTCCACAGCACATTATGGACTGCACATCTCCCTAAGAGCAATTTAAAATGAAGAACAACCTTTTCCAACATCCTTTCAAAACTGCACATGGACATTAGCCAGACACAAGACTGAGCTGCAGAGGGTGCATCTGCTCTTCACAGTGCTCATCACTGATGTCTAACCCACAGTAAAGTCATTTGGCCAAAAAAAGCATGGATGAAACAAGCGCACCAGAAGCCAGATGAACCTTTCCTTCCTCAGTGTCCATGGAAAGAAATATGTCGGATCCAGCCAACACTTTCTCAGTATTTCATTCCAGGGCATGTGATATCTGTAAGTAAGTTATTCTCCAAATGAACTAAATAAGCCAGTGTTCTCATTTACACTACCTTATCATCTCAGTTGATCTTAGCACCACTATTAATTCACTCCAGTGTACATGATGTCAAAGTATCCCTGAAGGTCTCAGCAGCCAGCCGAAAACCTGGCAGAGTTTTCTAAAGTCTGCAAGTTTTCACTTTCCAGGAAACCTTTTTTCTAACCCACTCCTTCGCTAGGTCCAGTTCCCATTATGGTGCCACGATCTGACCCCTCTGCAGTGGGGTCAGAAGGATCTCGCATTTCCCACGGGCAGATCTACTCGGTGGAATACGGACTTAATAAGGGATTTTTTAATTTTTTTTTTCCCCAAGGGACTAGCCCCTTCACAGGGATGTATGCTGTGCGACAGCCGCGGGACGGTAAGAGCCAGGTGTTGATGCGGGTTTGTACGCTGCCCGGTGCCTTCCGTCCCCTAGCGCCGGCGGTGTGGGGGGCTGGCCCCACTTCCAGGCGAGCGCAGCGCCTCGCTCGGGCTCTAGCACGGACGGTGCGCAGCTCAGAGCGCCCCGGCCGGGCGCGGGACGGCGGCGGGAGCCGGGAGCCGGGGCCGCGGCTGGAGCCGCGCAGGGGAGCGGGAGCGGGGAGCGGAGCTGCCCCGCGGGGCGGCTGCGGGCGGGAAGGTGCCGCGCTGCCGGAGCATCCCGAGCGGGGCATTCCGAGCCGGAGCATCCCGAGCTGCTTTTAGAAGGAGATCGACACTCCGGGTGTGGGGTGTTTTTTCCTGCCTCTGCCCTAACCCGGCGCGTGTTGTTCGTGCTCTCGGTGCCAGCGGAGCCTCGGCGAGCACGGCTGCCCGCGGCCGAGCGCTGCTGCCCACACGCTCCCGCAGCGCCGGGGCCGCCCGCTGCCGCTGTCCGGCGCCGAGCGGTGCCGCGCCGGCTCAGGCGGGTCCCCGGCGGGTTTGGGAAGCTGCTGTGCGCTCTGGAACAGCTCCCGCCGCGCCTCGGCCGTGCTGCTGCTCCGAGGGAGCATCCTTAGCGGTTTGCCTGTCCTGTGCCGTAACCAAGGGCATTTGATTTCCACGAGCGTTTAACCGAGGTATGTGTTTTGTGGCCTGCGCTTGATCGTTCACAAACGTCTTTTGGAAAGAACCTGTATTTAGCCTAACTCACTTCGCGGGTTGGCGAGTGCTTGGATTGAACGAACGCTTCTTGGGTTTGGGGAAATTGTTTTCGGCGGAGGCAAGAAGGGGAACGCTCTGGGAGAGCGTGGTGACAGCACGGGGCTGCACAGCTTCTGGAAGGAGGGATGCGGAGAGAAGGGAGGCACGGGCTGGTTTATTTTGCTGAAAGATGCTGCAGCCCAGGGGTGTGATAGCGCAGACCATTGGGTCATCACTGTGCAAGCAAATTCTTGGCTCAGCGGGCATAAGCACAGGCTGCCGCCCGTGTGCTCTTTCACGATGCTTGCAGAAAGATGCCGGGGAAAGCGTTGCTCCCTCTGCAAATAAATTGTAAGATGCCTATCCAATGTAGTGGGAGAAAAGCTGAGCTTATACAGCACAGCATGGGAAAAAAACACCGTATGGATGCACAAAAATATGCCCTTTGCAAGCATTTTGTGTCTGCCTGAAATCTTCAGGCTGTTTCAACATCATCTTGCTAGATGCAATAAAGTTTGGAACAGAAATCAAGTGTCGCAAACTCTTCCTAGCCTTGCAAATACTAAGCAGTTAGAGGAAAATTGTGAAAATAGTGGTAAAGGGCTGAGAATTTGCCATGCTGATTAACATTTATATAAGCAAAGACAATTAGGAATGCATACTAGCTATTATTTAATTAATTCTCAGCTAATTTCAGCAGAATGGGAGAAAGATTAATAGGAGAAATGTGTAAAATCTGGACCATATAAGATGCATATAGTGCTGGCAGTTTTATTATGATAAGGGATCCAGCTGGAGTGTCATGTCTGTTTTCTTGTGATTTTGCTTTTTACAGTCATTTTGAGCCCACTCTTAACTTTCCTGTGCCTGAACAGACTGAAACAAAAGGCAACCTGAAGCCACCAGCTGCCTTCTCTCTGCTATTATGCCTAGAAGGGCTTGTTCCCCTTAGGGATGGTTGCTGGTTGTAGCTGTGTACTGGCTGCCTTCCTTTCCCACCTCTTCCTCAGATGGGGTCTCCCCTATCACCCAAGGCAGGGAAAGAAAAGGCAGGCATGTCACCCCTGCCTCCCTCATGTTTCCCCAGCTTTCCTGTGCTCTGGTACACAGGCTGGCCTGCCTGCAGGCTGCTACTTGCCATATCCAGTACATGTGCTTTGCTGTCAACAGGATAAATGCTGCAGGACCTGGAACTGCTGGGGAAGGGGTCTTGGGCTATTTCAGCATCCAGGCCTAACCTAGTACTATCACCATGTATGTATGTATGTGAATATATTTGGCATAAGAAGTTATTGTCATGGGCATTTTGCTAACCTTTTCAGATGTAAAAGGCTGAACTGGGATAACTCGCCTCTGCCAAGTGTCTTTTTCATAATTGGGTCTTACTGGTGCAGTGCAAATTGTAAATTGTATTCTGTAAATTCCCCATCTGAGGCAACAGAGCCTTTCCTTCTTGCACCCCATCTACACAGAAGCAGAAAAGGAATTACCTCAACAACAAGAGTACATTCGGAAGTACATTCTGATAGGTCTGAGACTTGGAATCTAAATACTAAAAAGTCAGTATATTTTCACTTCTGCCTCATGCACTCTTTTGCAAGCAGTCCTCCCCCTGTGTCTTCATGACTGCAGTTGCCTCCTTTTCCTGACTTGCACAGAGGAAATCCTGTTACGACATGGTCGATCCATGGCGCTGCTGCAAAACCCCCTCTTAGCCTGCCACCTCGTCTGCATCTCCCCTCTTTGTCAGTCCTTCTGCTGCTCCCTCTTTCCCCCTGCATCTGACATGTCAGTCTGAGGCTTCAAGTGTCCTTGACAGTCACCCTGTCCATGAGGTACCAAGTCTCCTGTTTTTCTCAGGAGGTACTCCTGGGCCTTGATCAGCCTGTGCTCTCAGCATCTTTCTCCCTCAAGTCATCATCTGCATTTCTCCCAGCTCCGCCTTGTGCTTACTTGTAACTTCATATAGGCACTTTGTCCATCATTCCTTTAATTTCCTTGATATGTCCCAGCACATTTGCTTTCGTTTGATGCCTTCAGCAGCTTTCTGGTGAGATGCTAAGATGAGCCCTTGCCCGGTCTGTCATCATCCCTGCCACTGGAATTTCACTTGCTCTGGATTGGAGCACAACAGTGGCCTCTAAAGCTAGGACATCTGAGAGGCAGTTGTTGAACAGATCAGTCTATCAGGCACCAGCAGAAACTCTCTTTCCATAGCCTACAGATCCTCACTTGCTCTTTTTTGGCATTTCAGGTGCAACCCTGCCCCCTTATGCTTGCACAGCACAGCGTGGCTCGCTGCATCTCCCTTTGCCATCATGTTTCTCTTTGCCTGAGTTGTTGCAGGCTGTTTTGCAAACAGGGACTATATGTGAATATTAGGCACACAAATATGCCATGGTTTGTTCATCAGGGGAGGGCATGCATGCAGCCTGTGTTGGTAAAATAAGGAACGGTGAGGATAGGGATCTTCTGTTACAACAGTGAGGGGAAACAGAGAACCAAAGGAGAAGAGTGTTTTCTTACTTTTGTTAGTAAAGCATAAGATACCCAAGTCAGGAAGCAGAGTTACAGTGAATGGAGTTACTGTGATAGCACATCTGTGCCTAAACTCACTTGACATTTAAGTGTACAGACATTTAAGTGTAGTCGATACTGAATCTGCATTTTTTTGGAGAGAAAAAAAAAATCTGAGAATCATGCATTAACAAAAATTTCTGTTGAACCAAGTGTAAAAAATTGTATCCTAGCTTTACATTATGACGAGGTTCCTAAGAAGGTCGAAATGAAATCTGTTTGACTTTTTTTGGTGTAATATTGATTTATAAAATTTGTGATATATAAAATGTGTGATTTATACCTGTTGTTTTTATAAAATACATTGAAATCAGCATATCAGCTGAATTTTGCAATAGAAGGGTGTTTTTCTTATTGTTCTGGACTCTGCTTCCTGGGTCACATCCTCGCTAGTTAAGGACCAATAACCCCATTGACTAGCAAAGTGAACTTTGCTTTTACTGCTCAGCAAAGCTCCTTGCTGTAGTCTGCCCAGAATTCTCCCGAGACAGGAGTGGATGTGCCCACATGGAGTGATGGAGATGAGGGCTCTCAGCTACACTCGTGTGTGCAGCCACGTCATCAGCATCGGGCAGGAGGATGTGCTGCAGTACTGGCAGAGACAACAGAGAGCTTAAGTTGAGAGTAGAGAGCTTAAGAGCATCCAGTTCCAGATTTAGCCACACTTTGTCCTAAAACTGCATTCCTTGTAGATTAAGGGGATGGGTGTGATACTTTTGAGGAGTTTTTCCCTGTCTACCTGGAAGTAAACCTGAGGGTCTAAGCATGAGCGTGATGGAAAATGAAAGCAAGTTCTGATAAAAAGGACTGCTTGCCCTGGAGCTTGGTATTTTATCTGGTATGTTTTGGTCTGAATAAACAGTGTGCAGGAGCTGAAGCACTGCCCCATGAGAAGTGTGGTGGTTTCAGGAAGGGCAAACACAGTGCACAGCCCTCCACTGCACTGGCCACTTGGTCTCAGTTGTGGAGTCCAGTGATGTTCTTCCTGTGTCAAATAAAAGAGGTGGTTATTGGGAGCCCATTTAAGAGTCAGGCATGAAGTGGCAAAGCTTAATTAACTTTTTTTTATTCTGAGATTAATTACAACATCACTATGCCACACAGACGTATGCTGGATGGAGACTCCTGAGAGGCTTATCAGTTGGTGGGATGCTCTACACAGCCTTCAGAAAGAAGGGTAGAAGGAATGGAAGACTCAACCACAAAAGAAGGCAACAAGGCAGAAGCAGTTGAAATACTTTCATATACTTGTTCCATTGAGAAAAGTGGGTTTTAATGTAGTTTTCATTTCTCATTAAGCAGCCATTCCACACTACACTAAATTTTCTGTTCAAACAAGACTTCCAAATCAGATTTTGCAAGAAATCAAACAAGAAGTCATTAGACGAAATGCAGCAGTTAAGGATTCCTGACACTTGCTGGTTTCTTCTCTTCCCTGGCTAACCTTGCCCTGGACCTCCTTTCCTGCTGGGCTCCCAGGATCTGTCACTTTGACAGTGACACCTTATGGCTGTTTTTGACTGTAGAAGTCAATTACCAAGATTTAAAGCTGTTATGGGCAACCTAATGGCTGTGTGAACCTTCATGTCTTCTCTGCCTGATCACCCACTGTCACTAAACTTTAGGAGCTCAGATCTGTTTGAGGTTTCTGCCTGGGTTGAATTTGGCTGAGAGTGGCAACAAAAGTTATTCAGAGTGGCAATAAGGGGAATAGATTTTGGACTGAACACGAAGAAATCAAATACAACCCATCCCTACGGTCAGCAAAGAGTAGGCTGTTGAGTTTTGGGTGGGTTTTTTTCAGCAACCTGTATTTTTCCACAGGAAATTTTCAAAACAGAAATAAATATTTTTAACAAACCAGCACAGGAAGGAGACTGATTTCCTTGGTGACCATATCATTTGGATGAGATTCAAGCTGATGGTCTCATAGGATGCTAGATCAGGAGGGCCCCATTTCTATATCTAAGGTCTCAGAGGCACAGCAGTGAGACTCCTTACCCCTCTCCACATCCTGAGAGATACAGGGAACAGATAGATCCCTACTCCTTGCATGTCTTACTGGCACAGTGAATGAATACATTGTTTGGGCCAAATCCTTCTGTAGGCTACTACTGCAGCTGAAATAGTAAAAATAGCTGTGAGGGGCCTTAGAGTGTGCAAGAGGATGAAGGACTGTGGGATACAATTGTGTATGGCAAGGGGTCTTCTGAAGATAAGCTTGTTGATGTTCTGGTCCAAGTATTTCTCTGTTCTTCAAAGATAATTAAAAGCTCTGTCCTCCCTGCCTCACTGTGTACACTTACCATTTGAATGTGGATGCCCGCACTTAGGAAGCTTTGAGGATGTCCTTGTGTTTTTCACTTCATGTTTAATCAGCCCAAGATTTGGTAGGCTCTGGTCCCCTTGCCTTGCTGGAGATTGTGACACTGTTGTATTGAATGAGGCTAAAGTACTAAATGGGCTAAAGTAGTGCTCTGTGTGTCTGGGGGGAGGTGGGCTCTGGTCCCCTTGCCTTGCTGGAGATTGTGACACTGTTGTATTGAATGAGGGGCTAAATGGGCTAAAGTAGTGCTCTGTGTATCTGGGGGGAGATGGACTAACAAAGATTCTACCAAGAAAAAAAGAGCAAAATACTTTGTGTTTGCTTTGGTTGAAGATACAGTCCTGTTGCAGAGATCTATGCCTCTTTCCCCCAGGAAAGAAAGAAAGGGGAGGAAAAGGATCTCTGCTATGAGCCAACAAAACTGAGGGGCATAGGGTAGAGCTCTTGGCCATGTGAGGCATATTTGCCAGAGAAAATGCATACAGGGGCTGCTGTACCCCCTCTCCATCCTGTACCACACCTGCCTCAGCCTCAGAAGCAGTTGTGGGTGAGGTGACAAGGGTGCACACCCTCACATCCCGTGCATATGCTGGGTCCATCTCTGGGGCAGCTGACTTTGGGGTCCATCTACAGCCTCCTACCTGTTTGTCACAAAGAGATGGTCTGGAAGCTGTCCGACTCCCTTTGGTGGAACATTAGTATAGTCAGTGTTATCAAAACATTTGGATTTCAACAACACTGTCTTTTAACAGCTGCACTAGACAATTTTCTTTATTGAGCTTGGAGAGGCTTAAACCAAAAGTGATTCAGTGACTGAAGGGATGAAAGCAGCACAACAATGCATCAACATCCATCCCCAGAGATCTGCTTCTCTAACACAGTCAAACCAAATGTGCTGAAGGGGCAGAGCTCTAAGATGTACAATGATTGTGAAAGTGTCTTTTGTCTCCCAAAGGGCAAAATCTGTTTGAGTGTGGCTCATCTTTTGCTTTAATCTGTATCATTTGGGATTGTTTCTTCACACACAAGAAATTTAATTTACTTTATTAAAAACAATTCAGGGGCTATGTTTTAATTTTTGGTATTGAATGCATGTAGCACACAAAATTGTTCTAGCTATTCCTGTGCACATAACATATTCAGATTGGATATTTCAAGTGTGAAAACTTAAACTGCAGATAGTCAGAAATAAAGAGGATGAATAAATAATAGTGTGTAATCCAAAAGACCTGATTCCTGGCAGAAGTCTTCAGGGTATAATGTGAAATGAATTGGAGAGCAGATACAGTGCTCTAGTGCTTAAAAAAGTGCTAGGGGACAAATATCTGTCTTGGTGCTGGAGCACACTGCAGAACAAGAGAAAGGTGTTATCAAAGCCTGTCTGTAAAGCAGAGTTCAGGATCATGGTTTTGATGTTGTACATGCCGTGCTGTAACTGGGCAGCAGAACGATGTTGTTAGCAGGAATAAAACACAAGCCAGGATTCCAGTTGGTTTGGGTTTTTTTCCTGAAATTTCTGCCAGTAAGAGCAGTCAAAATTCAGCACTTGTCCTTCCTTTATTTTATTATTATTGTAGTTATTACTAAACTTTTCCACTTTTATTTGCTTTTCTATAGGGACTTTTCTCAGCATGCAGTCCCTTTAGATTTGGACGTGATCACCAACCGCATCCTCTGCATTGGACATTTGGCTTCTATTTCCATATCTTCCTGCTTGTAAGTATTTTATTCTTTCTCCTTGCTCATTTTTCTTTTACTTTTAAAGACCAGATTTAACTCACGGGTCCTGGGTCTGATCCCAGGTCACAATGTCTTTGATTTACATTGATATAAATGACTCTATAATCCACAGATCCATGGGAAATGTAAATTAGAGAATCAGTGGAGCCTATCTGAATTAATCTAAGTATCCTTATGGCTCAGAGGGTTTCCTTTTTAGAGCCCCACACAAACCCCCAAACAAAATATAACTTGATTTTAACCTGCAACCAAGCCATCTGGGCACTTGTCTTCTTAGATTTTCAAAGACATAAATTTAAATCATATTAAATCATAATTAAAAAATGAAATTAGATCATAAATTAAAAGGAAAACTTTGCTTGTGGCAGGAAATAGTTTTTCTTTTCCTTCTGCGCTCTGTTTTATTGAGTCAGTTGGCAATTGATCCCGTTTCCCAGGCAGAGTGGAAAAGGGATTCTCTGCTCCTGGAAGGTCCATCTGTAACAGAAAAAAGAAGCATCCTACTTACTTGTGGTCTTTAATTGCCAAAGGCATGTATCCAATAAGAAGTATTAAGGATCATATTCTTGTTAAACTGCAAGCTAGAAGTCATTCTTTGCCTTTCCTACCTACATTTTCAATGGAAAAAAATGTTGTTCACATATTTTTTTCTGTCTAGAGCTACTGTCTTATTTAGTTGCATGATGTCAAACTGCTACACTTTTCCAGTCTAGAGCATATTGCCTTTCAAGGCTAAAGTGTTCCTGGTAGATAAAATTCCTTCAGCCCTTTAGTATGAGCATGAAAACATATCTTTATTGACATTAAGTATTTTGTGTTACATGTTTGCTGGAAGGGAAATATCGCTAACCTAGGAAGGAAATAAATGTAGAAAAACAAGAGTGGGAAGATGAAAGAACTAAACCAGGAGCTCCCTGGCCTTCATACATATATCAATCTAGTGAAGATTTGCTGCCAGCTTTTGGGACCAATCACTGTGATAGCAGAACTTGGGGAGAAGCAACACAGAGTTACAACAGAGAGGACCTCTCTGTTGTAACCATTTGAAAAGCAAATTAAGGTCTCATCTCTTAGGAGATGTTTACAATAAGGGCTTTCTATTATACCTTCTACCTGTAAAGAAACAGTTCACAGGAGATTGTGACAAAAGTGTTAGTTTATGTAATATACAAACACTGATTTTCTTTGAAGTCAATTTGTCTCTCTGCTTAAACATTTTGAAAACACTGAAACAACCAAGATATTTCTCAGCTTGCAGTCACAAAAATACAGGAAGAGCTAAGAAAACTAAGTGCTTTTTTGTGGCTGATAAACTCACAAGAAATTGAGTCTACCAGACTTATCTTTGCTGCCTGTTCCTCAATTTTTAGGGTTTCAGTGGTGTGAGTGCAGGCCATTAAATTATATATGACTGAGCCTGTAGAAGCAGAGTTGTTGCACCAAGATATATGAAGAAATACAATACAGGCAGTAAAGCATTTACGACATTGGGACTATGGAAAAGCTCTCTTCATGCCATCCTGCAGAGTGTTACAGTCTCATTTAATATTCACTTTAGTCTGAACTGGGAGATGGCTACTGTCTTAGCAATGCTAAGGATTGAATTACATATGTTACATATAATTTGGCACTCAGGGCATATGCTAATTGTGAGGCCTCTGCTCCTGACCACATTTGCATTTCCTTACAAAATGGATTTTCTAGCAGATACCATCAGATATGCAATAGTGGCTAGCTTTGGCATGGCTGCTCAGGTGTGGAACTGCTGGTACCTGCACAGTGATACATAGTGATGCCTTGCCTGATCCCTCACATGCTCAGTTTGTCCTTCTTCTGGTGAATGCCACCTTGCCCATCTCCTACTTATCACAGGATGAAAGGAAATATTGAAAACTCCAATTGAGCCTGCCTACAGTATCTGCCAAGTTGGCTTACCCGTGGAGTAAGAGTGGTTATCCTCACCTGTGAAAGATATTTATACCAAGGACCTGAATGAAGAAACAATGCACAGCTGGGAGAATATAGCTAAACAGTGGTGCTGGTTGAAAAGCCAGGATATACAAATGACATCATATATCTAGGAGAGCCTTTTCTTTTCTGCAACACTCATATTTGAGGACCAGAGTAGCAGAACAAGGTTTTGCTCTCTTTTACATCTAAAACCAGCAGAGTGTAGAGGTAGGTAGAGTCTGTACCTTTTGGGACCAGTGAATTGTTTTACTGAAATGTGTGAATCTTCTAGGCAGGTTGTCCATCAGAGCAGCAAGGCTGTGTAACAAAGGAGCAATAACAGCAGGAAAATTCAGCCATAGTCAGAAAGGCAGAGTATGATCTGGGGCTTTCAGCAGATTTACAACAGTGAGGCTGGACTGGAGGACTCAGGAAGCCTCCTCAAGTCACACAGCTCTATCCTGGCATTGCAGAGGTGCTTCTGACAAAATACTCTAGATCCAGCTACACCACAAAACCTGAGTCCCCCTGCAGACAGGTGCCAGTTCTGCTTTCCCAGGAGTTTTCAAGAGTGGTGAGTTGGAAAGCTGCCTCCTGTCAGACAGAGTTGTCCATCTGCATCATTCAGGAACAATACTTGCAAATCATTATTTGCCTTAAACCAACTCAACTTTCCAAAAACAGATGAGGGAAAGGCAGGGACCACCACAGAATGTGAAAACTTTGCCTCCATCGTTCATTTCCTGGGTCAGTTTACAGCTCTCAGAAAGACAACAGGTTTATTGCAGTTTACCAGCTTTGCCATTATGTTTTGATGTCAGTGGCAAAGTTCCCAATTGTTTTTGGGGACTAGGTATGGGCTAAATGTTTTGATGTTGTTGTATTTAGTTTTCAGAAATGCAAAAAACACCAAATTACCTAACAGGAAGGTAATTGGGTAAAAGCCCAATTACCTAACCTGACTCTCTGGGGATTATTTCTTCAGGAGGATCAGGGTAAGAGAGACAAACAGTTCATGGCATTTACCTTCTTCTCCAAGCAGAAGCAGGAACTTGAGCTGAAGTTGTAGCTTTGGTGCACTGAATAAATCTACTCATGGCTCCATTTGGAATCAGAGTTTACAGTGTCTCTGATCTCACTACAAAATACTCATTTAAAGATAGCCTGGGTGATGTTGTAAGACCTATAAAAGTTCTGATTTAGCAAAACACATCTCTGCTTAACTGAGGTTCTGATTAGCTGTATTTAATACTATAAATTTTCCACTAACTTCAAAAAAAGTCTGAAAAAAAGCCAGTTATTCCTTGTACCAGGGTCAAGTGCCAGTAGTAAAAGCAGAATGTAGTAGATTTCAAATTTGTGAGAAATTTAAAGGCTTTCAACTTCTGCCATGTTAAAGAATTCATGTGAAGAAATTCCTTAAGTTATTATAGAGCAATTCAATTAATAATGGTTCTAATTTTTATTATGGCACATAATAAGAATAAACATCTTCTATATCAAAGCCTATATTTTAAAAAGGATAAATTAGCTATAACACACTTAACTATTTCCAGAACATGAAATGAACGCATATTGTTCCATTAGTTAATTTTATATCACCAAATTAAAGACAGTTCAAAAGAAGTATAATCTCATTAGGATCTCTCTTTGTTCAGTCTGTTGTGATTTATTTCAGGAGGTACAACAAATACAGTTTCCTATGGAGCTAAATACTATTAGGCTGATAAAATTATTTTAGTTTAGTATATTTTGTGCATCACTATGAGTTATATATCACAATGGTAAGAATATTTTTATCTGATATTTGCAGATGCAGTTTTGTACTCCTGTATATCTTGCAGGCTGTTAGGATGCTTGATTGAGACCACCAAAAGCTCCACTATAAAACAGCAAACACAATAAATAAACAATAAAACAACATCTGGAATGTAACCTTTTGTCCATAGCCCTTAGACAGTCCTTTCATGCCTGCTGGGCTGGCAGGGCTGCCCTTTCCTTGGGATGTAGGGTCAGAAGCTGCCTTACTCCACTGAAACATGCCTACCATTGAGATCTCCATGGCAGAATTACAGCAATGTACATTTCCGTGTTTGAAACCATTGAATACATTTCATAAATAGACAGTAAGAAAGAAAGTCTGGCAGATTTTCTAATTCTGGGTGCCTCTGGCAAGACACTATGAAATAAGTAGCTAATGGATTAATTGTCAGCTGTGATGTTGAGTGGCTTTGCTCATCTAGGTTGAGGAGCTTGAGAGAGAGTTTCATTACTTGACTAGATTTTTTATCACAAAATAAATTGGATTCCAGTACCTCTGTCCCATATAAAGTACATTTTTGATTGTGCTGTTCTGCAATTAAACAACTCATGGTTGGGAAGAGTCAATCCATTAGGATTTAGTAGGATTTCACGTAATCCCTGCATTTTGGAAAATTGAGATATAAAGATAATTGCTAGTTAATTCTTTAAGAATTGCATCTTTGAGCTAAGAAACATAACTCTTAAGACCTAAATTATATCAGGTGCACATTATCTGCTAGTAAATTAACCTTGCTGCTTTTTTTTTTCCTTGCAGTTCTGAAGGATAAAATCTTAAATTGTCCTGGACTTGAGCAGTAAAAGATAAACTCATTCACTGACTGACTTGTCATCTCACCATTATGATGGAAAAATGTTCGCTTAAAATAAACCCTTTTTATGCCACTAAAACTGCCTTCAAACACAAGATTTGTTGTAATTTTTAAAACACAAACCCAGCAATGTCAGAACCCAACCCTTCATCTGGATTTGTTGGAAATATGGAAAATGGGACTTTTCTGGAGCTGTATCCCACATCCCTTTCAACTTCAGTGGATTCATCACCTGGCCGTTTATCCAATGTCTATGTCTATGTTTCTATATTCCTTAGTCTCTTAGCTTTTCTCCTTTTGCTACTGATCATTGCACTTCAGAGGCTGAAAAACATAATTTCTTCCAGTTCCTCCTACCCTGAATACAATAGTGATGCTGGAAGTTCATTCACTAATTTAGAGGTTTGCAGTATTTCTTCCCAGCGCTCTGCTCTCTCAAACCTTTCTTCATGAAAATAAATGAAAGAAAACATACAGGAAATGGAAGAGCTTTGTCTAGTTTCTTGAGGAACTAGTGCATGTAACATTTGCCTTAGAAGACTATTATCAAGAGGTGTTTTTAAAAGTTTCTTTATTTTTTTCCCCTTTCCTTTTCTAGTTTTCATTTCCCTTTTAACTAATTTTCATTTTGGACAGTGGATAATGAATAATACCTGATCATCGTTTCTTGCCTGTACTAGTGATGCTCTTTCTCACGCATAGACGGTGTTTGTTAAGAGTATTCCTGCTAAATTGTAATACACTTCTAACTAGATGTGTCATTTTTCTGCTCTAATTGTGACCCATTCCCTGGTCTTGTATCAGCAATATGCTGACTGTATTTCTTTTCCTTTTTTAATTATATAAGGACTTATGGATGAAATCCCTATTGCAAAAGTACAAAAAATCTGCTTAAATTATAAATATTAGGACAACTTAAAGTTGTTGATATATTCCTTTTTTTTCTTTTTAGTTTTTCACATCTTTTTCAGTGTTTGTTGATGTTTATAAAACATAACTAATTCTTGAAGAATGTTGCTTTTGTTTATTTGTACTCCCAGCTCGTTCTGTATAAAGTTGGTATTTCAGTTTTTGAGTCTCTTTGGTTAACTTAGTAAAGCAACTACAATAACAATGCTCGTGGTTGAATGTGTGGAGTTAATTTTGGACCCCGTTGCATCTCACTATCTCATTTGCCTAATGACATGTTCCTCCAGGGGGCAGCTTTTGCTGCTGAATCATAAATACCACACTACTCCTTTTTGTACTTCACGGATACTGCAGCTTATTCTTATTGGATACCAGGACAAACTAGTGGTTTCTTGTCAAAGACCTGCATTTAACCAATTCAAGTAGCAAGTGAAGAGCTCCTAAACTGTCCTTTAGGGACATGATGTTTGCACTCACGTCAGCAGGGACAGAAATTGCTTGTTCTGGTGAGGACTTTCTGGGCCAGCCTTTGTCCTGTGATTTCAGAAATGTGGGTGGAGGGGGGCACACAGGGATCTGCACAATGGCCAGGAAGACCTGAGCTCTGACCTGCAGGAAGTGCAAGGTCTACCTGCAGAGGGTAGGAAGGGATGGGCAGGACAAATAGTAGTGGCTCTGCCACTTTCCCCATCAGCATAAGGGAATGCCAGTGAGAGGGGAAGAGAAATGGATTCACAATCTCACTCCTCTTTGCCATGCAGTTTTCTGGGTTATCATTTCCCTTGCTCAAAGTGTAACATGTGACTCCATTTCTGCAGTAAAATAATGAGCAGCTTTGTGAACTGGATCCTGTGGTCAGCTGGGCTTTAAATCAAGCCAAACATTCAAATTTGTGATTTGGAGTGCCAAGTGTGACCTACTAGAACTACAACCCCAGACTGGTGCAATGCCTTGTTGTCCTTATTGCACTGTGTGAGCACAGCTCTGTCCTGCCATTCAAGCCCATGCAAATTTTGTTCTCATGTCTGAATCCAAGTCACAGGAAAGACCTAAGAAAGGTATGGAATTTGCACTGCCTTTTCTGTTACTGACATAACACAGGTGTAACTCTGGGAGATCCATCTCAGCAGGAGCAGCTGTCCTCCCCTCACATGGCACCACTGCCCAGCAGACCAAGGAGTTAGGGAACACTTCCCAAACACATTTATACCTCTTGCAGAGCTCTCCATGCATTTGTAAACAAGACAGACTCTGCCATTAGCTACACAGGCTTCAAAATACAAATTTGGAAAGTCTGGTGTAAATATAATCATTCAAAATGCAGCTGCTGTTGCCAAACAATACAGATGATGCTGGAGTTGGTGTTTTCAGATTTTAAAAGTGAACATGCAGTATGGTAAGTGGTAGTGACTTATGGTGGTGATTAGTTCCTTAAAGAGGCCGAAGAACTTGCTGACTAACAAAGAATGTAAGCCTGCAGATTCCCTGAGCCAAACAGGTTTGATGGATATATTTACAGCTTGGAATATTCTATTCATATAGACAAAAGTTTCTTGTATGTCACTTTTCACTGTATTTGACAAACGGTCTTGAAAAAAGAGGTAGTTGTTTAAAAGGGATCGGGAAACATCACTTCTCTTGTGAAAGCTCTTTGAAATCTCAAACCTGTAACAATGTATTTGTATGTTGACTGGTAAATAGAAATAAACGAGCTGTAAGTCAAGACAGAGCAACTGTTGGACTATCTTCCCTTACTGACAAAGTTTTAAATTTGTTGCTTCCTTCGCTGCAAATGGAGAAATTTAATCAAAACCTGAGATGAGACCACAGGTCAAGATGAGTGTTTGTTCCCAGCAGTGTGTTTATCCTTGCAGATATATGTGTTTATACTTGCAGAGACTTTTAATATTAAAATACAAAATGTTAAAACCCCATTGGCTCTGTTCAGTGAGCTGTTGTCAAACTTCACCAGAACAGAAAGTATTTTTCCAACTGCAGAAAATAGGAAAGATAACTGAAACCACACATTTGATTTTGCTTTCTAGTTTACTAGATGCTATTAATTTTTTTCCACTCTGCAGTGACACACAGGACTATAGTCATCACAATTTCAGCTGAGTTTCATCTGTTCTCCTCAAGACAGATTTGAATAGAAACAAGTAAGTTCCAACAAAATAGCATCAGGAGAAGCCACAGGCAAAAAGCACAATGGCATTTTTGAGGATTGCTAAGTACCAGTTCTAGAAAAAAAGAAAAAGGGAAGAAGAAAATAAATCTACCTGAGAATCTGAGCCTAAGTTATCCTGAGAACACTGGAACAGGCTTCCTAGAGAGGTGGTGGACACCCCAAGCCTGTCAGTGTTTAAAAAGTACTTGGACAATGCTGTTATCAACATGCTTTAGCTTTTGGTCAGCCCCAGAGTGGTCAGACAGTTAGACTAATGATCACTGTAGATACCTTCCAGCTGCAAATATTCTACTATTCTATTCCAACTAGAGTCACAGGGATATTTTTTGCTGTGTCCAATTCTGGGTTCCCAGTAGAAGAGAGAGAGATGTGGAGATACCACACTGAGCCCAGCTCAGGGCTGCTGAGATGATTAAGAGCTTGAAGCATCTCTCACATGAGGAGAGGCTGAGAGAGCTGGGACTTTTTAGCCTATAGAAGGCTCTGAAGGATCTCATCAATGTGTATAAATACTTTATGGGAAGAAGGAAGAAGAGGGAGCCGGGGCCTTCCCTGTGGTGCCCACAACAGGACAAGAGCCCGAACTGAAACACATGACTTCAGATAGTTGCAAAGTAGACCTAGAAATCTATAGAAAAAAATATTAATAAAACACAGATGAGGAAAGAACTGAAGGAGTTTCTGGAAAACGCAGAAAAATTATTTTGCTTTAGTTCACCAAATATGGTCCATTCAAGCATATTTCATCATCACCTGCTGAAAGCTATAGCAGCCTCTGTATCTAAGACTCTCTGGCTCTGTTTGTCACCTTAGCCCTACTGTCAAATTAACCCATTATATTTATCTGCCCTGAAGATCACCACATTATTCCCATCCTGAAACAGTGTCATGATTTTCACTTAGCAACTCTTCAGCTCTGTGGAGTGTTTATTCCACTGAAATAATTTTCTGTGTTCAGCCCTTCTCTGCCAGCTCACCTGAAAGGTTTGCTTCTGTAAACTGAAAGTCTTGTCTGGATTTCCAACAAAAGTCTTTTACCCTGGGAGCAAGTGTTACACCTCTTCTGTTCAGCGTGTTTGCCTTCCCCTTGCTGTCTAACCCCGTAGTTCTCCAGCAAGGCTGAATCCCTAAGGAACATCATGTCCCACTGTACATGAGTTTTTTCCCTTCAGCATTTTTTACTTTTTTTTTTTTTCAGTGAGAGCCCTAGCAAAGACACCTTTGTGGGACGATTATTTACGAGGTCCATCCATGTACCTCCCATTCTTCTTGCTAGTCCCGTTTGTGCTGCATCTGCTTTGGCTGTCCAAGGAGACTTGGTGAGTTCCAGCTCAGCTACTCCCGGCTCAGGGACCTTTCCACATCCACTGCCCTCCACAGCCTCCCAAAGGCAAGGGCCCCACTCCGTGGTTACAGCAGGTGATTACATGCCCCAAATGCAGGGCACAAAAGTAGCCTGAAGGAGCCCTTTTTTTCTCTCCCAGAAAAGTGGACTTGTTCTTGCCTGGAGTAGCCCTCAAGTTGCTTTACACCTCAGTGATGCCAGGCAGTTTGATGTGCCAGTGGGACACAGCCCTGTGCTCACACCAGTGCTCCACAAAGCTCCTGGCTCGCTCACACCACCCAAACTCTCCAAGAGGGTCTTGGCCAAGGTCACTTTCCTGATGCCAGATACATGTGTTCTCCCAGCTCCTCCCAGCTCTGTGCTTTGGAGATAAAAGCAGCATCAACCTGCTGTGAATCCCCTTCCAAGGGTGGTAAGCCCATTAGTGTAATCATGATATCACCCTGTGTAGTGTAATCACCATGCAGGTGACCTCAAGGACCAGGTGAGTTGAGCTATTTTTCACTTCTGTTTTATTGTTTCAGATCAGTGGAGCTGACCACCCTCTGAAAGTCTGAAAAGGGAGGTGGCTCATAGGCCATCAATGTATAGAATCTCCAGGTGCCTTCTGAAAATTGCACTGGCTCCTTGGCATAGTTTCACTTCACCTTCTGTCCCCTACAGACAGCAGCAGAGTGGCTACACTTGTTTCGCAACCAAAAGATGCAGTTTTAATACAAGCAATGTCTTTAAACAGCTTCAGTTAAAAAAAATCAGAAACAGAAAAGTAAACCTTTTAAAAGTATAATCTAATGTATAAATCTTTACCAAAAAAAGTTAGAATTTTTTCTTTGTAAATTTAAATTGTTTGCCAAAATATCTATTTCTAAAGAGAAAAGTTATATGATTGAATTGTTAAAAATGGAGCATTTTATGCCAGCTGTGTTGACATAATTATTTTTGCCCACAGATTTTTCTAGGTAAGACTTCTACTGTTTAAAGGGACAAAAAATTACTTTATCCAAGTATTTCTCTCATCAATAAACAAGTCTAGGTGTCTGTCAGGGCATTTTTACCACATATATTTACTTATGCACTTCTAACACTGAATGCTGATCTGGTCAGATAGACCTGGTTCCAGAGTACAGTTACATTTCTCTTTTGTTACAGAGTATTATTGATTAAATGTAAGATGGAGACTAAGATTCTAATTAATGAATTGTGCCCTCAGTACTCCTTCAGCACAGGGATCCGTTTGTCATTTGTTTTAGAATAATAGCCAAAACCTATAAATCATTTGTTGCATGGCTTTTTCTTGAGCTTGGACTCAGCAGTCGCTGAGAGGTAAGAAATTGGTGTAAAGGACACATTTATGATGGAGACTCCCTGTGTAGTTCGTTCAGGGCAAATTCTGCTCCAACTCCCTCGATGTTCTTCAAAACTGCTCTTTACATGTCCAGAGAGGACTTTTCAATGAGAAATGCCTCTATCCTCACATTTAATTTTGCACGGTATTGTAACATTGCTGGAAAACCCATAGGAGTGTGTCCAGTTTCCACAGTAAGAAGTCTGAAGAACGAGTAATGCACATTTCAGTAGTTTCTTTAAAACAGAAGCTGCTTCATGGTTTTCAGTTTCCGTTCATGCTTTGAGGTTGATTTTATTCAGAAGCTAACTTCTGAGTGAACATGTCACTGT